CTCCTGTGTAAGCAAGCAAACAGTGAGAAAGGTAACATGGCCACAAGGCTGCTCTTGATATGTGATCAAACACACATCATGAGGAGATCGTCTTCACCTTTACTCCAGAGATCAGCACTTCATCAGCTGACTTCACCATGTTTTTAAAGAATCCTCCAAACATCTCCTTGGCGTTCTTTCTTCTTACACTCAGCTAAAATGATTGAATGGAGACAAAAACATCATAAAAACTAAAATAGATTCTTTTTTTTTCCTACATTGTAAAACTAGGGCAAACAATCTTTCATGATTTTTGTGATCCCTCTACCCAAATATACAATGCAAAGCATTTTAGTTTGAACCATGTCTATGAACAAACATTAGAGTAACTGTTACTGGAAGATAAGACTAACTGCTGATCACAGCAGGATGTATGCCATGTGTCACAAGTGTCCACAACATTCTACTTCCCCTCTTTCCTTGTAAAAGGAAGTCAGCATTTAAAAGGAACTCACATCCTGATCATACTCTAAGAAAATCTGGAAGTTTCTGTCTTTGCTTAGAATGGGATGCGAGGACAATCTCTGCAGGAAGATTTCATGTACTTGGACAGTCTTCTTAAACACAGCCAGGTATTCACTAGGCAGATAAAAAACAAGAAGAAACACATGAGGGACTGTGCAAATGAAACAACACAAAGGTTTTGTTATAATGCCTCACTCACGCCTCAAGCTCCTGCTTCATTTTTGTGTACTCCTCTTTGGTCATTGTGGCTTCACCTTCTCCAAGTTTGTGCATTTTCTCCCTTGGGCTTTCAAAATCGGGTTTTGGGGGCGCAGGAGGGATCTTTAAAAGAATCAGAACTGTGATAAATGTCAAATAGAGAACAAAAAATGGTAACTATAAGTGTATTTTAAGTGATCTGTAATGTAGCCATATGTTGTCAGAGACCAGAAGATGCTATTTCTTTTGCTATATTGAAGCACTGTGTCCAGTTCAAATCATTTCTGAAACCTGATATACAGTATGACTTTAAAAATCACTCCATGAAATATTCATTGCTTTATTAATACTGAATTTACACAACATGTCCTTGCTTGCAATTTTCTCCTATGTTATCAAGTAGAGAAGCCAGAACAACATTAAATGCTGCAATTGTACATGTAAATATTATCAGAAAATGTCAGACTTACAATAAGGCCAGCATATTCCTCGGTCTCAACCAGAGTGTCGTGCAGCCAGATAAAGTCTTCGTGCTGCCTGGGAACGGAGAACTCTGGTTTTTGGAAAGAGCTAAGAGTTGTCTGGAACAAAGTTAAGCATTTGGGATTTACACTCCTGTAATAACTTTCACCCCAAGATTTTTTTTAATAATACAACAATTATCTACCTTTGTATGGACGGTAAACTTGACTTTATCCCTTTCACAGAGTGCATCAGGAATGTCAATGAGGAGGGAGGCATCATTGTTTAGATCAACAGACACAGAACGCAACTAAAGAAAAAAGAAATTGCAGAAATATTATTAAAGTGCCTTCACTTAAGTCAGACTACCTCTCCTGTGAATGAGTTCTAGGACTCCATCTCTCCATCTATTACATATCAAGTTAATTATCTCAAAAATGTTTTAATTTGGCTAATGTTCAAGTATGTTTAAAGTGCAAAATCTGTTAGGAGTGTGAATCCCAGTGTCTAAAGCGGAACAAATTACCATGTCATCCAAATGATTTATTCCAGTAACAAACTCAAAACATTTAGGCATTTGTCACTATGGATTGTAAAGGCTAAAATGTATTATTTCAAAAAATGAAATTGGAGCCTTGTTTATAAAAAAAACCCAAACAAACAGTAAAAAGCTTTAATTAACTATAACAATTTGTATACACTGATAAAAATTGTACCTCGGTGGAATTCAATGTAAAAATATATTTAACTATTAAAATGGAAAATGAATTAAACTGAAAGCCGTCCGAGTTGATAAACTAATGCAACTAATACAGTTTTGAGTGACACATTTCCTAGTTTTTAGCTTACGCCAGAGACCCTACTGTGTGGATATGTGGCAGATGTTTAAGAAAGATAATGATATACTCATATGAGTACCACACGAGATAATAAATATAAAGGTATCTCTATTAAACCGTCCCCATAACAAATATAATGCAAAATTAAAATGAGGTCACAGCAGTGCATTTAAATTTCTGTATGATGCTAAAGTTTTTAGCTTGAGACCAGCTTTTTAGTACCAATAGAATAGTTCAATTTAATACAGTCTAAAATGTAAATACGAAAACTGCCGTTGCCGTTTAAACATAAACGGATGCATGTTTCAACATGTTGGCGAAGTTTTTTCTGTTTTCTCTGCAATCTGACACTGCTCATGTGACACTCACATCACAGACAGTGAGGTAAAACGTTAGCTAGCGCTAGCCGATATCTTACGTTATGTGGTAAAAAAGTTAGCAGTTAATAAAACTTGCCACAAAGCACACGCTAATGTTAGCTTCAGGAATTAACTTTTGATGCAATTTCAATAGCGGGTTTCATGTTTCTTACCTTTTCCTTGCTGTTTTCGTCTAAAGTCGATGCCATGATAGGACTTATAACTGCAACAACAGGCCAACCATCCAAATAACAAAAGTAAATGCAGGAAGCAGCCCTCCTTAGGATTCACTGGTTAGCCGCTGCCTGACGAACTGTCAACTCATTTTTTCTTCCGCCCCCATCCTGACGCTGACAGCTAAAGTCCCTCCTACCTAAATTCTAATTGGATTGTGTCAAAATTACTCACGCTACGATTGGTTTTCAATGAAATCATTCATATTAGACTTCCGTCATGTAGTTACTCATATAGGAATGACGAAAACTCGACTCAAATAAAAATTTTCAAACTATAATTTAACCAATTTTTCAACGTTATTTACTGGATTATCCAAGGTTTAGTATCAAAAAGTGTAAATAGTGTAATAGAACATTATATACAAATACGAAAAAGAGCAGAAAAAGAGAAAACGCTATAACCACATTATATATGTAAGGCAAAGCCATATTCTAAAATATGAATGTTTCTGTTACATGGTGGACTATGATCTTAGAAAAATAAATAGTTTTTTGTCAAAAAAATCCTTAGAATAAAATGCGTACATTCTGCCCTTGTTTAAGATACTTTGGTCATCTGTAGCCACTTTCTGGGTAAATAAAAAAATATATCTGGCCGCCCGCTAGGGATTTTGGTCCCCAGATTTTTACTGGCCTCTTAACACAGCCAGCCAGGATGATGTCGAAAGGAGTCTATGCAATTTTACACAACACTATGCATTTTGATGGTATTTGACTATAATCTTCATTTAACTTGTGTCATATTGTTTTTGTCGGTATTATAATTTTATTGGGGGTCCCTATAAATCATGTACCCTCCCCATTTGCAGCTCCCAAATTGCAATGCACGGGTCTTCAGTAATTTCAACTGGTCAGTTTGAAAAATGTAATTTCCACGTAGATGACACTATATGTAATAAAGCCTTGGGAGACGACACGTTGTTTTTGTAATCATAAATTTAGATCCTCTTTGATTTTCATTTTGCACTAACTTGACTTAACTTGATTGCTTTTATCAATATAAGCTTAATGCAGAAGGCTGTTTTTTTAGTTCCCTCATTTATTTTTTGCAACATTTTAACGATTTGTTGTGATCCTTATCCATTATCTGTCAATTTATTACGAATGATTTAGTTAATGTCGCTAGGTTGGTGAGTATTCGGAGGTATTTAAGTGATACACTTCCTTTTTGGGTCTGCCAATTTATTACGAACGATTTATTTAATAATGTCGCTAGATTGGTGAGTACTCGGAGGTATTTAAGTGATACACTTTCTTTCTGGGTAATGTAGTTTTTAACACTTTCAAATGCAGTAACTGATCCACATTTAACACTTCAAATCCCAGTTCCGGATATTAGTGCAACTGTAGAGGCGCGTCGTTTAGAAAGCGTCGTGGTTTTGTTGAAGACGTGTCTGGGCAAGTACTGTCGCCAATAACAGTGAAAAAACAGGAGTATTACTTAGTAAATGTGCTCATGTGGACATTACTTTATTGCCTTCCATTGTCTTTATTGGGTGTAGTTTAAAATTCGCCAGAATGATTTACCGAAAACATGTTTGTTTGGGAAGCGCCGTCGTGCTT